TATGATAAAATATAATGAGCATTCAGTTTTATAAATATTATTAAGAATGGAACATAATGTTGGAGACTACGGGAAAAAAAATGTTATCGTTGGTTTCTTAAAGAAGTTTAACTATCATTTATGTTGACATTGAAGTATTGGTTTGGTTTGTATTAATTTATCTACTCACAATTTTTTTTAAATTTGTGAGTTATAAATTCAATCACATGAGGTGTGATTAATTGTGTTGATAATATTGTTATCCTATGCGGTTGTGAAATGCAAAAAGGATTTGGAACGAAACGCACGGTTGATAGCATACTGTGTAATATACTTGGAGTATAACAAATATGATGATAAGAAAAATGTAATGACATGATGAGATTTTAATTTAATAGATATGGTATGGAAATATATTTCAAATGTGGGGGTGCCTAGCAAAAATATTTTGCTTTACTCTAAAAAATTAATTATATATTATATCATAATATTAACCTTATTTTATGAATGCCAAGATGGTTTTATGTTGTGATTTAGAGAAAATATTATATGGAGGCATTATTATTTGCATAAATGCAAAAATTGTGATGTATCATTTTGTGTGGCTTGCACCAAGCATTGTGATGGTGGCACAAAAGTTAATTATTTATATAGTATAGTAGATAAATGTATCTTAAAATAGGTGCATGGCTTATTTAATTATCTTGGTGTGAATATTCATTAATGTGGATAATAATTTGTTTATGAGTGTTTTGGTTCAATGTGAAATAAATGAAATTATGAATTATGAATTCTTGCTATATAAAATATGTGAATATTAATTGAATTATAAATTCATATGAGAAAATCTACTAGTGACTATTCACTCTTAGTAGTGATATAATGATAGGAATATAGTGGAGTCTAAGCTCATTAATTTAAAGTTGAATTGGAGGCTAAGTTGCTAGAGATCTTTTTAGCAATTATTTTGTTGTGTAAAATTGACACTTAGTATTGATGAGTTCTTATTATGCTAATATGTCATTTAAAAAATTGATATATTTATTGCTCAATTTGTATATGCACGAATTTTTGAGAGTTTGTTGCATTAATAAATATTAATCTCATGACATATATTGCGTAAAAATTGAGCATTTCAAGTAATCTTATAAGAGGATGAGATGATTGAGTATTTGATGGGTATTATAAATATGGGTACCATGAATGGTGGATTTCCACTGTATTAAAATAATACAATGACGTTAACTGAATTTTATATTCAGATAAAGAAAAATCTATTAGTAGCTAAATAAAATATTATTTGAGCTAGAGTTTATTACTCTGAAGTTAGCTAATAATGAGGCTAAGTAGTTAAGAAACTTCTCAAAGAATATTCTACTATGAGTAAAACCGACACAAGCCATGTCGATGATTTGAGATTGCCAAATGGTAATAGTCATTATAAAGAGAACAATGGCATATATAAATATCATTTGAGATATAATTAAGCATGCTAAAAGAGGGAGTTGTCTCAATTGATTATGTGAGATCAGATATAAATCTGATAGATCCGTTAACTAGCCCTAGGGAAAAATTTTAATTATTTAAATGTCGAGGGGAATGGGACTTAAGCCAATTTAAAATTAACGGTGATGGCAACCCAACCTTTGTGATTGGAGATCCCATGAAGAAGTTCAATGGTAAGAACAAGTCACTTGTTAGTTCTGCTAGCACTAAATTTTTGTCCCTTCCTATGGCTTGAAAAAGTGCTAAAATGCATTGATTGGAGGTTGAGCGAAAGCTCTTAATGTTTTTCATAGTCTTTATGGATGGTATATTCATTACAGATACACTTGATGAACATACCTATATAAATATGGAGTGGGACCGTTCCTATGAGATCATGGCGAAATCTCTAGAGCATTTGTTAAAACCAGGTGCGCACATGGCCGATAACGTGCAAAACCACGTTAACAACAGAAATTGTGGGGGTATAATCTGACTAATAAGACCTCTAGCACACGACCAAGATTTGTTGATTCAATAACAAAGTTACACCGACTTTTTTGTGTGTTAAGTTTTATTGGTCTAGATTTGGTTCAAGTCGAAAGACACCAAATTTAAAGTGATTATCTTTCGTGTGAATAACTCAAATGATAATGGTCATTTTGACACATTTGGGGGATTGTTGAAATTGTGTCAAAAAGAAAAGTTCCATATTGCTCAAATGAATGGAGGCCTTAATAATGTATACTAAGGTATGAGCTTGGGCAAGTAAATAGGCTTAGAGAAAAAGTAGGTTCATGCAAATGCAATTATGCACGCGTGAGCTAAATGTGGTATCAAACAAACTGGGCATTTTTTTTCTAAAGTTTTGAAAACTATTATGTGGAGTTATATTATTTGTATAAAATAGTTTTCAAGAAAATTTTCCTTCCTTTTGAAATATGTGGGGGATTGTTGGATATTATAAATATTTTTTAGTATTTCAAAAGGAATTATTATAAATTAATAATATTAATTATTATTTAAGTATATTTATTAATTTATAACACATAATTTAAACAACATTATTATTTGAAACCATTTTTTAATTGTGATTAAGGTGGTTTTATTGCCCAACATTATGAGGTTTGCCTATAAAAGGAAATGCTTACCACGGGTTCAAAGAGCCTTAGTACTCTCGGCCTTTTTCCCCTCTTCTATTATACACCTGAGCATATTCTGTGAGTTTCTGTTGTTCTGTGTCCCTACTTTTAGTAGGAAGAGTCTGTTTAATCCTAGGGAGCTGCCGCGCGATCAACTCGGTATGGCGGAAAAGCTCTTAAGGATAGTGTCCTTGGACATGACTCAGACTAGATTTCACCAGCTGTTGTCAATATTTTATGTGTCCAATGGCATAATCGAGACTTGGTCCAACAAAAACACTCCATGTTTGGTTGTTGTTATTTGAAAGCTTGAATTATAGTCCGATGCTTTCGCTTCAAGAACAAATCCTGTATTTTTTCCACCTTGGCAAGTCGTTTCCATATGAAGGGAAAAAAAACTAAATCATGTAAACCATTATTCATATATATTAAATATATAAAATGATAATTATTTTGTAGTCAACCTCATGCTAGTAGAAATCAATTCTTTTCCATCTGCTCCAACAAGTGCAACTTTCAAATCAACCGGGCCTTGGGATTGCATGTAAAAAACTACTTTATATTACTTTATATATATAATGTCAAAATATTAATATCATAAATAAAATATTGATATTTAATTAAATATTAGAAATATACCAAAAACCAAGATTAGAAAGACCAATTCCTATTAAGATATCTTTGAGGATATTCAATTTTATTGCATCCTTATTGCAAGGAAAAACGAGATGAGAGCTGTGTTGCTGCATATATTTCTGAATCATTTCCAATGATTGACTATGGAAGATGATTGAAGGAACTTGAGTACCAAGCTTCGAAACCTTTGTAGATGAACACAAATTATTAGTTAATTCCCAAAACACAATATCTTTAAAAAAAGAGAGAGAATAAACAACTTAATTAGAAGGAAAAAAAAACTTGATTTGGATCCTGTAAGTGACCTGAATTTACTTATTTAATAAGTGTCTCAATTACAGTAATTAATTTTATCATTACTTAAAAATTATCAAGATTTATTTTTATCTAAAAATTTAAAACAATCCTCACTATCAGAACACTCCTCGCATGTGATGTCCCCTAAAAAAATATCTAATTTGATGCTTCCTGAGTAACATTTGACAAAATCTCTTATAGTCGTTTAATTAAATTGAACTGATGTTATTATGATATATGTGGCACTCATTAAGTAAGTGGATTTGTGCCAATCACTGAATCTATATTCAAAAGTTGGATAATTACCTCTATTGTTAATAAGCTCAGCCCATAATCCTCCAAGACCAGCATGATTAATTTCCTATGAAATAAATAATTAGTCATATACATGACATGATAATTTATTCAAAAAAGCAAGGGAAAATATTTACCTCAAAAAAATATTCCAAAAAAGGTATCTCGAATTTTCTTTCCGAACTTAGCACTTACAAGTAATGAAGGAATTGAACCAGTAGCAGCAGAAGATCATCAGCAGAACATCGGAAAGGAAGAGAAAATAGAAATGGCAAAAGAGAGATAAGTGAAGCTTTTGAAGATGTCATTTTTATGAACCCCACTGCTCGCTTGTGGGTCGTGATCCTTTTTTATACCCAGTTGGATACAATTTTTAACAGTAGGATTAAAATAGAAATAGAATTAGTTGGTGAGAAAAAATCCTTTTAAAATTATTTATGCATCACTACTTTCAGTTGAAAATGTAATTAATCCAACTCAAAAGTAATTAAAAGTAATTATTATAAAATTATAAATAATTATTAAAAAAATGAGGGTGATCTTTATTGGCTACGCTTTACAATTGGCTAGTTATAGCTTCTACGTACTTACATCAACAATATTTGGTGTATCATGTTTTTAAAAGAGAAACATCATCATTCTATTTTATAAAAATTGAGATAGATACTAATATTTCATTATCACTTAACATTTTATTGCTTTTATTTTCATAAATTAATGATGAGTCTTACGCATACAAAATTATTTTTATGGCATACATTTTTCTAGTTTATTTTATTTTTATTGAATTCAAGTTTTAATCCAAGCTATTTATTGTCAAAATTTCCAAATTATAAAATCATTCTGAATGAAATACATGGCCTGTGAATCAATTAATTATTACTTAAACTAAAACAGAGATGACCATCTATGCATTTGCTTAATTCTCAAATAATGCTTCTCGGTTTGCCGATGCAGTAAATGAGGACGGAGTTTGAAGTAAATGCTCGGTGTTCAAGTTGTACCTAGAGAAGGATGACTCAATTCGATTCATGGAAGTTGTCGCATTTTACTGTTCCTTCTGAGATGTATAGAATTTCATCATACGACAATTCTAATTTAAAAATAAATAAATTCAGGGTTAAAAGGTCTATGCTACTTATGCCCCGGCAAAGCTTCCATGTGCTATGGATAAAACTATCACTATATTTGAGCATCCATTCTCCAGAATTATACTGGCCTAAGCCAAGTGTTTTAATCTCAAATCAAGTTATAGGGGAAGACGCTCACATCCATTTAAATACTTGGGAAATTCTGAAGAAGCCACAGAACCGAGTTCTGTTGTTACAACTGACAAATGAAATGATGATGATCATGTACTTTTAGAGTAGTTCCGGTCTTCTTATTCTGAAGTTGATCTTGCTTGCTGCTCCAAACATCATATATCTTTGGTGTAACTTTGGCAGTGATTGTCCAGTACTTCCAGATTTCAGTATGAATGGTTGTTTCCAGTTCCTATAGGGACTTCAGTAATGTACAAGCGTTGTTATCTGACCAACCCAAGTTTTCCAGGTGAAACCCTGACAACTAAAGGACTGTAGACATGCAATCTTTCATTCCTCCATAACAGGAAACCAAATGTATAGCCCTTTGAGGGAGAAGCAACTTTGAAATTCACAGTGAAGTTGATTTTCTGCCCAATCCTTGTGAAGATTAACCTGTTTGGCACCACGGTGACATTAACTCCTGCAGGAGGAGACACTGCGGCTTTGTAAATACTTATCGCTTTTCCAACATTAGTCACAGTTCTAGTCACTGAGAAATTGTCTTTGAGGTTTGGCACTGTGATGGATGGGTAGTTGAGCTCGGATGCAGATTTGAATGCCCTATCACATGTTCTGTTGTTTCTAGTAACAAGATGGAGTGACCTCTCATTGTACCCAAGTGAACAGAGGAATGCTAGATAATCTTCTGCTTCTATATCATAGATGAGACCGGGGTCAAGAACTCTTGCAGGGTTCACAAAGCCTGATCCATAATCAAATGCATTGGCACTTCTTTGTTCAGGATCGGCCCTGATGAGTCCATGGTGCTTATCCAGAATTGTAGCTGCACGTTGAAGTAGTAGTTAGTTTCTCAAACTGAAGCCGCAAAGCTTCTGCACTCCATTGATCATTTTTCTTTCTGTCTGGGTACTCCGTGATTGATAGAATTTAATTAAGATAAGATTTATGTTTCTATTTGTGCTGAGGAAGAATCTCTATAACAGAGTTGTGTAGAAAATTAATTAAGATAAGATTTATGTTTCTATTTGTGTTGAGGAAGAATCTCTATAACAGAGTTGTATAGGCCCCAAGAAAAAGACAGTATTTTTAATGTAATACCAGTTGTCATGATGGCAGACTTGATAGCAGATGGAGACCATGAAGGATGAACAGCTTTGATTAAGGTTGCAATTCCAGTTATATGAGGACAAGCCATGGAAGTTCCTGAGAGAATGTTGAACATCATGTTTTTGGCTGCTGGAGACCAAGCTGCAAGGATGTTCAATCCTGGGGCTGTGACATCAGGCTACGTAAAATTACCACAAAGTCAGAATTTCTCTCCTCTAGGAATATCATGAACACCCATAATTCGTGTTGGATTTCCCTTTATATTACTGATAGTGAGAATACATCACCTTCAGAATTTCTGGGGTTAAGCTGTTGGGGCCTTTGGAAGAAAATGCTGCCACACGTGGTGCAGGCTTTGCTCCTAATACTGTCTTTGCTCTGGAAATCCTTGCCATTGCCTTACTATTAAGGATAGAAGTGGCAGAAAGTAAGACAGAGAATCGAATGCATTCAAATATTTGGAGGAAAAGCGACACAGAAGAACATAACAGTATGTACTTAACACCTCTTTTATATTTATGTCTTTCCAAAACATTAGATATCTTCACTTTTGTGGATGTAGAGAATTCAAAAACAAACCGTGTATTGTTGATGTACGAGAGAATATGGCGGCCTGTTCTCCTTCCAATAATGACTGAAGGTATCACAAACGGGAGGGCAATATCTTGACCTGTTTCATCTATAAGTATCATTCCAACTCCGCCTGCTTCTTTCACTAAAGTACTTTTCACTACCTTTGACTCTATTGAACTCTCTGCATGTCGGCACACCAGAACTTTCCCTTGGGTCTTGGTCTTATTGAGGGAACTTTCTATGCAGTAGCTACAAAAACAAAGAAAAGACAACAAAATTTTCTTATAAGAACATCCTTTTGCATTGACCTTTACACATTTCTCTCATTCAAAAGTACCTTGTGCTTCACCTGGATTGATAAGGAGTGAAATATCCTGCAGAAGCTTCAGAAGCAGAAATTATCCTTGCAAAGGCACTCATTTCAGAGAGACTCAGACTTTCACCCTGTTACATTTATCAAGAAAAATTGTCAGTGAAACAGTCGGAGAAAAACCTTATTTTGATTCCAGATAAATAGATACTCTTTCAATTTCGTTATCTACAAATCAGTCCTTTTAGTTGAATCCCTTTATCATTAACATACTTCTAATGTTGCTCTTTCAACAAAAAATTTACACCAAAGTTAACTGGGATTGGACATTTTTTTGTCGCCCACTAAACTCATGCCTCACTCCTTTTATGAAACCGTTTTCTAAATTAGCGAGCTCATGCACCCTTCCTTGAAATATGTTGTGTCAGGATCTTTTATAATTGCTTGTTATGAAGTTCTTACAGTGTTGAGAGGTAAATAAATATAGAAGGTGGAAGTATCTATGCAAGGAATTTTTAAATTTAATGATTGTAAAGTTTTTGCAGAGTTTAAAAAGAAAACAAATTCTAGAGAATTCAAGCACTTCATTTTCTTTCACTCTTTTTTGTTTCTTTTTTGTGATAATCGTTTGGTATTATAAACTAATTCATATCAGAACCCTGTCATGCTTTAGATGAGAGTATCTTTTTTAACATGGTTTTCTTTCACTTAAGAGTTTAATTTCTATGTTCTCTTTATAAACTTTACAAAATCTTTGCATTAATGAAAAACTTTCTGATAAAAGTGATAAATTCTTACCGTGATATTGACACTATTTCCCAATGTGACATCAGAGGTGAAATCCCTATCAGTGGAGCTAGCAGCAACAGTGATCATCCATGGTGCAAGGTTGGTAACAGAACCAGGATACCCTTCGTTCCCAGCCGATGCAACCACCAGCACCCCACGATTGGCTGCTTGATACGACCCCACTGATATAGCATCATTAAAGTAGTCTGCTTGAGGAGACTCAGGACCCAGAGACACAGACAAAATGTGAACCCCATCTCTAATAGCATCATCAAAAGCAGCCAGCAAATCTACATCATAGCAGCCTGAGTCCCAACAAGTTTTGTACACAGCAATCCTAGCCATTGGTGCTCCTCCCCTGGCTCCTCCACCTGCACATGCATCAAAAGTCACACTATTCACAAGTTGTAAGCTATGTAATTTATTCATCAATCAGATTCTTTGTATTGCACAAAAACTTACCTAGTTAACACATAAAATTGAACGATATATATAGAAAAAAGTTTTAAATAAATATTTCAAACGTAATATAAAAACTGTCATATCAAACAAACTACCGGAAATACCTGCCAATCCCATATAGTTCATGTTGGGCACGTACCGCCCTGTGGCTATTGAAGCTGTGTGGCTGCCATGGCCGGAGCTATCTCTTGGGGATCTGAAAGAGACTTTTATGTCTGAGTCTGATCCTTCTTCTACTTCATACCCACGCATGTAGTATCTAGCTCCAATGACTTTCCTGTTCCACATGGATTGTTCACTAAAGATGACACACCTGACGTATGTATAAACTAACATCTATGAAGTGAAATAACAAGGCTTGTTTTCTTTTAGTCTCTTAAGAATTGAATTATTAGTTAACTTAATCATAATGACGAGGAGCATAAGGTTGAACTAGAAACCTGTTGCAAGAAGAAGCATTGAATGCTTCTCCTGATTCACATTTTCCTTTCCATCCTGGTGGCACCGGCGGCATGTCGACATCGCTAAAACTTGGAGATTCAGGCCAAATTCCTGATTCAATAGCCATTATGATCTACATTAATTCTTAAATGATGCAATTCAAATCATTTATCTCAACAATTTCAGTGTACATAATAATATATTGGGAGAGAAATCGAGGAAAAGGAGACAATACATAATTTTAGAGATTTAATTTGTAAAAATGATATTTACAACTAAAATGCTACAGAAAAAGAAAGTGACAGAGTTTCCGCAAGTTAGGTAAGAAATGAAGTGGGAAATTTCCCATGAACCGAATACTTGCCTTTGGGAAATATTGATTACTTCTACACGACATGCAGAAGTAATCAAAATAAAGCCTACTGTGAAAGGTAAGAGCGCTCAGTGCTCACCAGTGTCAATGAAACCAACGATGATGTTTGCTTGGTTTCTGGTGGAGAACCCAAGAATCTCCATCGTTTCATCGTCCAGAAGACCCATAAAGTCCCACGAATGAGTTGTATGTAGCCTTCTTTTAGAATTGGGAAACACAGAAACCACTCCAGGCATTTCTGTCAATTAATTTGAACATCCATATCATAGACCAATTAATTCTGGATTTAAGAAAATCTTGAGGTCCAAAATCCATATACAAGAGTCGAGAAAGATGAGAAAATAACTCTTAATTACTTGAAATCTGAGAAGCCTGCTCATCAGTCAGCTTCGCTGCAAATCCCCTGAAACCATGTTTGTAGCTATAAACAAGCGAAGCTTCGGCTTCGTTAATGCTGTTCGTCATTCCCCATAGGAAAAAGAGAAAGTCACAAATCTAAAACCAATCTTCGATTCTAGTCTTCTGTAATATTATTCTCTCTTCCAATACACGAATGTAGACTATCTAAATCAGTCTGAAATAAACCGGTAAGAATTATAGAGACACTGACCTTCCACTGTGAACAGAAGCAAGAATTTGGTGGTGGTGCCTTATAATTTCGGCTGGGTCTTCGCCATTTTTGCTTCCCATGTAGACTACATAAACCTGCAAGGATCCAATCCAGAATTCCTGATTCCATAATTTGCAGTAAGAAGAAAACTAAACAGTGTGATTTGAGCTTACCTTTGCAGAGAAGCACATGGTAATCTGTGCAACAGAAACTGCGAGAAATAGATAGAAGAAGGCACTGCTCCCTCTTGTTCTTGCATATCCAGAAGCAGACATTGTGTAAGTCCCAGCTTGTGGCCTAATGTTGACCAACTCTGATGCATTGGAGTGAAAAGTAACAACGGCCAAGCTGCATATATAGTGATAGAAAGGAAAGGGCAGCAACCAGTGGCAATTAGGTCCAAGCACTGTGGAGTAAGGTTTCAACTTAAGGGGCTTGGAAAATAAATAAATATTTTTATTTAGCAGTGTATACATTTTAGTGCCAATGTTTTAAACAAGATTGGACACTTGTGTGCATTCAAACAGAAAAGCTAATCTTTCAGAATATGAGGAATTAAATTCTTGTTAAGAGACTCCGTATTGATGTGTTTTGAACAAGATTGTTTATATTATAGTTGTGTAGAAGAAAAAAAGAGTTATTTTTATTTTTAAAGCTTGTCAATACTTAAATTTAAATTAATTAATATACCCATAAATTCTGAATACAATCATATTCTTTTATGCTGCTATTTTGAGTATTTTCCCCTACGCATACAAGTATGAATATAGTTCGTATTCATAGAAATATGATAAGAACGAAAGAAGAAAAGGAGGTTGAAGGAAAATGATAGGAGGTGAAAGTAGTAGCACTGGCAAGAAAACTACTGAGATAATGTTGTCCCAAATATTTTCTTCTAGTTCATGATGGGTCCCAGCAGTTTAAATATTTTCTTCTAGTTTATATTTATTTTTTGTCTTGTAAAATTTAATCTCTTATCATGCTATATTAATAAATATCATGTCGTTTATGTGTATGTTGAAGTAAATCCTATGCGTTACATGGAATATAGGAAACGAGTTACGCTTTTGATGACTCAAACAATACAAGTAGGATATTAAAAAAAAAAATGAAAACGATCAAAAATCCACTTGACTTAAGATCCAATTTATATTGAGAGAACATATCAACCAAAGATAACCAGAGGAAGTTTATATTAATTAAAGATCAATATATTTGCAAATTTTACAGCATTTCATTAATCCATAATTGATATTAATTTTGTTTCAAAAAAGATCGAATTGCCCCTAAATTTAAAATTAGAATGGGTTGTTATTTTTAAATAAATTATTATCAAAAAATGAATGGATTGTTGTTAATATAAAATCAACACTTATAAATTTAAGTACATTCCATCATTTTTTAAAATTGTAAAATTCAAAATATGTTGTTATTCTTAAATAGGTTATTGTCAAAAGGCGAATGGATTGTCATTAATGTGAAAACTAACATTTATAAATCTAAGCAAACTTCATCATTTTTTTGAAGTCATCAAAATTTAGAATGAGTTATTATTTTGAATGAATTCTTATCAAAAGACGAATGGATTATTGTTAATATAAAACCAACGCTTATAAATTTAAGCCCATTCCAAACAAGTAAGAGTCAATTATTCTTAATATCAATTAAGTTGTTGTCAAATTCCTAATAACAATTTAGGGGCAATTCAGGTTTTTAGCAACAAAATTAATATCAACGAAGGATCAATGGACTATAATGAAATTTATAAATTTATTAATTTTTGAATGATATAAACTTTCTTTAAGGTCCTCAATTGATATTTTCCTTATGTTGGAATCGACCTTGCTAGATATCATATTGAAGAAAAATGAAAAAAAAAAATGATAAATTTAGAGATAAAACACAAGACCCATGCATAATCAAATGGAGTTTTTTTTGATCAAGTACTTTAATTACAAGGTTAAAGTACATTTTTTCCTTTATTTTTTTTTAAAAAGTGTTGGGTACTCTATACTTATAAATGAAACATTTTCCCCCTAAGCTATTTTTGAAAGGAGCAAAAATTTCCTTTCATTAGTGATTCGTTAACTTTATCATTTTTATTGACATGACATGTCCTTTAATGTTAATTTTTTTAAACTATTTTTTTTTAGGAATGCTAGGCATCCTAAAATTTTGTTAAAATAAAATTTAATAAATATTATTAAAATATTTAATATTTATTAAGAAAATAATTTATTAAGAAAATTGATGTTAATTAAGTCTTTTAAATTCTCTAAGTCATTCTTCATAATTTTTTTGTTCAACTAACCTTCAAATTAAAGGATATTTAGAATTAAAGTGTCATTTATTTTTAATTAACATTTTCATATAATGTAATATGCTTTTAATTTTAAAATTAAGAAAATAAGTTACAAATTTAATAAAATAATATTAATTTCATCCATTTATTTGGAGTTCATTCCCTCTTTTTTAATATAAAATTATAAAATATTAAATTTTAACAGTGCAATATTTAAAAAAAATTATTAATTGATTAAAAAAATTATACAGAACAACCTAAAAGATTTAAAGGACTTAACATATTGTTAATTTTTTTTATAACATCATTTTCTACAATTTATTTAAAAATATTGTTGTTGTGCTGTGTTAGTGTTAAAATGCATTTTTTCTTATATCTTGAGAAATTTATACTAATAAGTAAGGCATTTTTTTAAATTATTTTTTAAAGGAACAAAAATCTTCCTCCATTAATGAATTAATAATGGAGAGAGATTTTTACTTATTTAAAAAATAATTCACTTATTAGTGCAAAGTGTTCAATACTTTCAAAAAAAAAAGTACAAAAAATGCACTTTAACACTTAATTATAAATTCTTTAATTAATTAAAAAACATAGAGAATACCTCCTGTTTATAGGATATATTTTAAAAATATCTTTTTAAAAATACAAGACACTTTACAATAATGAAATTATTTTTTAATTTTATTTTTTATTATTGTAAAAATATTTAATGTAATTATATTATAATTTAAAGTTAAAGATAAAAATAAACATATATATTATTTTTTTATAACTATAAAAAATATTATATTTATATAAAATTAATTTATTTAAAAATGTAAGTACTTTGTAATAGAGAGCGAAAATAATAAAATAAATAAAAAAGAATGAGTGAATTTAGGGTGTCCACCGAAATGTGGATAGGGCACTCGCATTGCGAGGGCTGCCAGCGGGGGCACTGATCCAATCATGTGACTGCTCTTTTGTTTTATTTATACTTCCCTTCAATAATAGTAGTAGCTGCCTCAATTTATCTTATTTATATGACATGACATTAACTTTTTATTATTAGTTTTTTTTTCTTCATTAAATGTTGACGAGGATAATGCATTATTAAAATAAAATTTTTTTACTTTTTGAAAAAATTATGAGTACTGACATAGTTTATTGAATATATTTACAATCTTATTTGTTAAAAAAATACAAATATACATTTTTTAAAATACTTATAGTTAAATAATAAAATCTTAACCGTGAGACATTGAAGGGAGAAATAATATGATAAAAAAAGGATAATATTAAAATAAATATAATTGATGAAACTTTACTTTTGCCGCCCGGTTTTATATTTTGAAAACACCGAATTATCTTTAAATATGTCTTATAAACCAGGATGGCAGGATGGGAGAGTACAGTTAACAGAAAAAAAGTTAGAAATAAACTTATTAAACTCTTAAATAGGTTTAATGAGTTTTTAAAATTTTTTATTACAATAAAATGTATTAAAAATAATTTATAAATAAGATTGAAAAAAACATCATCAAATTTGATGAGATTTTGTAAAAGCATTGCCTAAAAAATAACAAGAACTTCAATTTATATAAACAATTTATAGAAAAGTTTATTAATAGAAACATTTATCAACCCTCGGTTCAATGAACAATTAGGTGTCGGTCATTGTCTCTAGTGTACACATGAGGACATTATTAACTTAACGTTGGCATCTAAATTATTGATTTCCAAGAATCTTATGACTTTGTTTGAGTTAATCTCAAGCCCTGTTCTCTTAATATATTTGTCCATTTAATATTACATTTAAACTTTTATTAAATGCCTCTTACCGGCTGTGAGTTGTCAGTCAACACATCGTGTGTACAGGGAGCACTCTAGATGTTGAAATCGAAGGATTTTTTGTCAATTGTCTAAATGCTTTTTTATTTTACTTCTCATAATATTTCTCTTAAATATTGAGTTCCATGGCAGATTAAACATGTTTTTTCCCTTATGCGTTGCGTGTAAATAAAATGTATTATAAAAAATTCATAAATAATATGACTTTTTGTTAGTTTGATATATTATATAAGATATTAGCAACTTTTTATTAACTGAATCAATCATCGAAAAAAAAAGTCTAAAAACTATAAGTTATATTTTTTTTATATGTAGTATATATTTTCACACTACAATCAAAATAATATAAGTAGTAAAAGATGATAAGAGTTCCATTTTACCCATCTATTTACTACTCAATGAAAAATGATTCGAGGAATTAAAATGACACATTCTTAAGACATTTCACAGAATCTATTGAATGATTCCTTTTAAATAAAAAATGTTTCTTAAAAAAGTGTGTTTCGAGTGCTTTTGATTAATTAAGAAAAAAAGTGAGTGAGAGAAGAGAGTGTTTGTGAAATCATATGGCAATTTTATTGATATCAATCAGTTTTCTTTATGTATATAAAATTGGTAGATGAGTAGCATAAAGAGCAATAGAAAAGTGCCAGTGACTCAAACAGTATCCACACACTCAATGCGAATTTTTTACATAACATAATAAATTTAAAGAATAACGCACTCAAAATTGATTGTAACGACATATTTTGGGGATTTCTTTTCCTTGTTTTTCTTATAGTAGAATAAAATAATTTTGAGATTTTCTGTTTTTTCATAAAAAAAAAAGAAAAAGAAAGAAAGAAGGAAAAGAAAAGTGTGCGTAGTGTAAAGGTTTTTTGCACCGTTATCTTCCATTTTTCTCACGGAAATCAAGTGCTCAAAAGTCAACATTGTAATAATAATACATACATAAATATGAGCAGCAATCTCCATCTAAATTTCAACCATGATTAATTTACTCTAACACAGAGTATTACATTTAATCAATTATAACCGTTGCAATCATTTTCTCTCTTTACTGTCACAGGACATAATCATTGCATTCATGAGTAAGCAAAATGAGAAAAGCTTAATCATGATTTCATTTGGAATACTATTTTGCCACTGTTCATAGTCCCATGAATTTCAGGGAATCTTTCTTTGATCACGGATCAT